GGGGAGAGGATGTACCAGAGATTTTGGAGATTTGCCCAGAGTTGGGGGAAAGACTACTCTAGGGAGCTGTTAACTCAGATGCCTGAAGCTTATAATTTAGTAAGCAGAATTTAAGGATATTAAGGAAGCTGGCAGGGGCAGCTAGGTGGTACAATGGATAGAGTCCTGGGCCTGGAGTCAGGAAGATCTGAGTTCAAATCTGACCTCAGACACTTGCCAGCTGTGTAACCCTGGGTAGTCACTTAACCCCTATTTGCCCCAGTTCCTCATCTGTAGAAGTGGGGACACATTGGAAAAGGAAATGGCAAACCACTTCAATATCATTGCCAAGAAGACCCCGTCCATGGGGTCATGGAGAGTCAGACACAACTGAAAGACTGAACAGCAATGAAAAGGAGGCTGGCCAAGCAGATTGTTGGGAGAAGTAGGGTGAGGCTGCCCCGTCTCTGTTACTTTTCTTCACTCTTTCAACATGTATCCTCTTTGTAGCTGGCTCGAGCTGGAGCCGTGGGCAGACGGGGAGCTAAGCTCTTGCTGGAGGCCAGTGAGCGGGCACGGAACTTGACCCAGGCGTACTTCTCCCCCGAATGGCCCCTGCACCTCTCCTTCACTCACCTCGTGTGCCGAAGTGCCATTGATGGTATTTACTGAGGCTTCCTTTCACCCGCTGCCCTCGTCCCACCTTAGGCCTCCTCTCTTGGGTCTAACACCCTTAAGATCCCCTAGTGGCTCGTCCTGGGTAAGATCTGTGGCTCCACGGGGAACGTCCATGTCCAGGGACCAATAGGGATGTAACTATGTGCAATAGGAAGAGAGGGAAAGAAGTGACATGCGCATTCCTACCCAATGGCTCTGCCTTCCAGGGGAGCAAGAGCAGCGGATGGACCTGAGTCACCCAGTCCATGCTGACAACTGTCTCCTGGACCCTTACAGTGGGGAGTGCTGGAAGGAGCCTCCAGCATATACTTACCGGGACTACAGGTGGGGATGAGGGTGGGTTGAAGACTAGTCTGTGTGCCCTCCTCCACAGTTTTCATAGAGCAGAGCCTTTAGGGATGGAGGTATCTCCCTAATTTAATACCTGTAAAATACAGAAATTGGACTAGATGGGCTTTAATGTCCCTTCAAGCTCTAAATTCTATGATCTGGGCATAGAGGAGAGGCTCATGATCTCCCCTTTTCCCTCCCCAGTGGGCTCCTCTATCTCAATGATGACTTCCAGGGTGGGGACTTATTCTTTACTGAGCCAGATGCCCTCACTGTGACGGTGAGCCGGGGAAGGGGGAACCCAGATGGTGCCGTGGGGGGATGGGTGGGGATGGGGATGGGGGAGGTCAGGATTCAAATCAGAAGCTGCCCAGATGCAAATGTAGGAAAACGACTGGGGCTCTTTAACTCTTTCCCTACTATACTCTCTCTTCCTCTTTCCTTCCTTATCTTTCAGCTAGTAAATCAGGATTTACCCATAGATCTCTGCCATGTTTCCCTCCCTGGGGTATATAGGGGTAGCCATTGAGGAGGGCAGTGTAGCCTGCATGGTGTCTCATCTCCGGCTTCATTCGGGGCACTTTATTGTCAATACTATTGTTGCTACTACTCACCCACCCCCAGGACCCAAGAGTCTCAGGACACTAGGAAAAGGAACACCATTTCTGCCTCCCAAAAAAAGTCTAAGATAACATTGAATTCCTGGGAAGAAAACAAGAAGTTTGGGTTGAGAGGAGGGGGACAGCTATTTAGCTATCTGTCTACTTCTGTCTTATCTACCTATGCCAATTTCTAGATAGACATATCTATGACTGGTTAAGTCTACTTATTTTCTGTTTGTTTCCTTGGGGCGGGGAGAAAGGAGAAGGCAAGATTTTTCTAAGGTTCTTTCCCCCTTTTTAGCCTAATTCTATCCCTAGCTCTACCCTACTAAATGTTTCACATCCCTTTTTGATAGGGTTCATTTAGGAGATAAAGGCACCAAAAATAAACAGAAAACAAGCAGAGCTGTACCCCAGAACAAAGCCTTAGGAATAGGAGATGGACAATGTGGGGCACCCTTCCCTTCCCCCAGGTCCCAGTGTCTCTGCCTCTCTGCCCTGGTGCTCAGGATGCCTGTGTTCTGGCTGACTAGGGCTGAAACTTGCTGGTATCTTTTCCTTTGCCCTACATTTGAGGATGAGGGAGATTGTAGTCATTGTTCTTTGGGATGTGACAGGGGAGGGAGGGAGGGAGCCAGTGAATATATTCCCAACACACTGAATTCTTTAGAGAGCGAGATCTACCACATTCTTATAACTGAGCTCTGCTTCATTGCTTCTGTGTTTTTTATAGTTCCCCTGGTTGATGCCTCACAGAGGTGGGGGTGAGGGAAAGTTAGAAGTTCTAGGAGACTCACTCTGCACGCATCTATACCTCATGCCTGGTCTGAGACAGCTGAAACCATCTCTACCCACTTTGTTAGCCTTTGTTTTGAATGTGGGCTATGTAGGAGGTGACTGTTGTTTATAGGTCTATCCCTGGAGGACACCATGGTTAAATAGAATGTTGGAGGAAGGTGGATTTCTGGAAGCATGACAGTCATTCTTCCCCCACCCCCCACTCCATCCCTCCGTTGACTCTCAGGCCCAAGTTCGCCCTCAATGTGGACGCCTTGTGGCCTTCAGTTCTGGGGGAGAGAATCCCCATGGAGTATGGGCTGTGACAAAGGGACGGCGATGTACCTTAGCGCTATGGCACACTTGGGCTCCAGAGCACATGGAACAGGTGAGAGGAAACAGAACAGGGGAATGGGAAGGGAGAGGAAATAGAGTGGTTCTGGTGGGAGGGCTAGGTTAAAAAATCTTGTGTATAATTTGGAATTATGCTAAGAAAGTAACTAAAAGGGGCAGCTAGGTGGCGCAGTAGATGGAGCTCCAGCCTTGGAGTCAGAAGGACCTGGGTTAAAATCCCAGCCTCAGACACTTGAAACTTACTAGCTGTGTGACCCTGGGCAAGTCACTTAAGCCCAA